GGATGCAAGTATCCATCGTACTAGCAAGGTTTGCGCAGTCTAGTGAGCCCACCAAGCCACTATTCTTGGAACGCTGCACACCCTCTTGCTTCAATCACCATAGCTAGCGTTGCACTTTTGAAAAGAAACAAGGTCTTTGTGGTTTCAAGATAAGAAATTTAGTAAAACATAGCTACATCGGTGGCAAGAAATGTCCAAGGTAACATTCGACTTAGCCTGATATTTCCAGCATTATCCAAGATTCTTGCCATCCATAATTGCATTCTTAACTATGTCATCCGCAATAAGCTAATAAGCCTCATCCTCTCGTAGTACATTCATTTCTTCCCGAATGATATACTTCTGATCCCATTTAGTTTGGTTAAAACTAAGTTCTTTCTAGAGTTTGATCAACGTTACGTAAACGTCCTCGGGAGTGTAATCGTATGTCCGTTCCAGTGTGAAGTATCGATCAATCTTTCTGAGGATTTCGATAGCTTTTGACCAGGTTTCTGGAAGACAGACGTAATGAACATGGAGCAAAATTTGGCTGCTTATTCTGAGTCTTGGTTGGGGATGTTCAGGACCTGCAGAGAAGACTTAGCAACTTTACAAAGATGGACGTTTGGTAGTTGTTGATACTCACTATAGAACTTTGCTTCTGGTGAGTCTGCATTCCAAAGGAAGAGGACAGATCAGTCATCCATGATGTAGGGTTTGAGAGTGTAAAAGTGGATGAGAAGTGAACATGCTACAGAGCTTTATTATACATATATATTCACCCTTAATCTCCCAACACTTAGATATCACGAATAGGATTAAATGTACGAGTCCCTGTCGCTGACGAAGACGCAGGAGTTGCGGTAGCCATAGTCGCGGTAGTACCAACATCGGTGTCAGTGCCGTTGGTGGCCACATCAGTTTCAGGTGGCGTAGCCAACGATTTATTGGACCTGGCTGCGTCCAGTTAGCAACTTTGCATCTAGAAGGGTGTGGACATGCAATTACCCTCAGCATGCCTCAGGTTGCCGATCACTCTGCTCATGCGCCATCCAACAAGCTCAATCTCAATCATGGGGATGCCTTCCTCTATCAGCCGGGCATTGATACTCTCGGTAATGCGACGCTTCTCATTGAATAGCACCTGCCGCTAGGTGAGTGCAGGGTTCGTCTCTCGAAGCTCACGAGCAATATCCTTTGTGATGTCCTGCAATGTGCGCGATGGTTAGTCAAGCCTTTGTAGAGCAGAGAGTGATGTCCGGCCTTACGATAAAACGTCTCCATTCAGGATCTGAAAACCCAGCTGCAACGCGAGCTTCTTCTGCTAACGCTCTGTCTAGCAGTCGCGGCATAGCTACCCAGGAAATTGCTTTTGCTTTGGGGTCGCTCGGACCCCGCATTCCCTGGCGTTGCGCGACTCAAGCTATGACTGACGCACGCAGTATATTGGCTTGGCACCATA